CCATCTTGAATTAAAAGTAGTGTGTTCTGAATCTCATCTCGCCTGCGTTTATAGACAGTTTTGATGTCATCATGAACAAAAAGAATTGACAATTTTTGATGGGCATACCAATGTCATTAATCTAGAGGGGAAAAAGCGAATGTCTAAGTACACTTGATTGGATATCGTTGCTGATAATTGGATGCGGAGGAAAGTGGTGGTCACCCAAAGTGACTATTTGAACGCGATTCCTAAGGTATGAGGGAAGCCAACTTAGAAGCAGGTTTCGGACTCCAAAGGATTCTACTTTGTTGCATAACCATTTGTGAGGTACACGGTCAACTGCTCTTTCTAGGCCAAAAAAGGAAATTATGATTGCAAAACTGGAGTCTAGGCATTCTGAAGTGTAAGTAAGTAAGTTGCAGCTGGCAGGTCGTGCAGGAACATCTATCGAAGAAATCATGCTGAATTATGTTAAACAGGTTCAGAGAATTAGCAAATTCCATCAACATTTTCTTGCTTAACCTTCCATGCAGTACGGCGTTGGTGCGAATATGGTGAATCGGTCGGTAATTGGACATTTTTCGTTTAGGACCGCTTTTATGGCGTGGGATGGTTAATGAAATTTTCCATTGATCTTGAAACTGGTTAGTTTGTAACGATGAAGTGAAAATATTCAAGAAAAGTAATGGAAAGTTGTGGGGATGTCGTCGGAGTCCTGTGTATTACCTGCTGAATAGTATTGCGGGAAATTTCGACGTTGGATAAGCTTTTGCTCCTTATGGATTAAGGGCATGCGGTGTGAAGTTAGATTCAAATATCATGGAGGCAGCAAAGAAGACACTAAACGAGTCGCAAATGGTAAGTAGGTCACTATATACTTTACTGTGTTCACCCAGGAGTCCCGTGAAACGGGTAGAGCCGTTGTTAGTTTTGCGATGAAGAATAGCAACTAATTTATTTATCTTGCAACCCGTCCGTAGAGTGTTTTCTGCCTCAATTTTGAGTCGTATCGATTGTTTATGTTTGATCCTAGCTGTCCATTCATGCACTTGCAAAGTTGTAAAATTTCTGGCTTGTGAAATCCTGCTAGCAATTTTTCTTTTTCCAGTGTGAGTAATCGTTCTTGTGTATTATCAGCGTTGTGAACAACACGTTTACTTTGTGAAGTAAGATGGATAATGGCATGGTGGATGTGTATGGAACTGTGCTACTGTTAAACAAACATCAGTTGACTGGACAAATGCATTCCAGTCGGAAGATCGGACCAAGTGTCGGAGATATATCAAATTATTGTGGTAACGGGTCCAGATTGACGCTCATTTTGCTACCCAAATAAATTGTGATATTTTGTAGTCACTGTCGAAGTGACTGTTCATCAGATCGGTGTTTGCGCAAACGATTCCTAATGTAAGTCTCAGAACATATAAGTTGGTTGACTTGGTAGGTTTTGTAACCCATCCTCCAGCAATAATAGTCGACAGGAATTCTGTGTGTGTTATCGAAAGTGGATGTGGTCACCAAGATATTTTCGGAAAATTGGAGTATCCAGGTATTATTTCCTGTCTGTACGCATGCAATGCGGAGAATTCGTAGGGTTGTAGATGCATCCCAGAATTGTATAGCGGGAAGTCTTAGTGGAAACTATCCAGAATTTTCGGGACGTTTTCTAGCTCATGTTGGCTAAGAAGCATCGTTGTGAATGTTTGCAGACACACCTGCTCCCTTACCTTGCGAAGCACGTTTTAGGAGATAGTTGGCAGTTGGGGATTGCTAACGTTGAATGCAACGTATTCATAGAGCACCGTGTCTCAAGGACGAGGATTACACTTGGAATGCGGGACGGTGCCATCATGTTTAAAAAGCAAAGCTTGTTTTTAATATTGTTGCATTGATCAGGAGTAGGGAGAACAGTATATGTGCGCTGGGGGGTTGTTGAGAACATTGGTTAAGGTCAGGAATTCAGGAGCACAAAGCGAATACAGAGATGGAGAGGTAGATACAGTTTCTAATATATTTAGGCAAGCGGCTATTTTTCCGGTCGGAATTACCGGTATTGCTAGTTGAAAAGGGTTGGGTTGGTGCGTGAAGGTTGGGGTATTCTTGGCTTGGAGATGCACCATACCTTTCATGTGTACAAACTGCAGGAAGAGTGAAAATAGATTGTTTGCTTCTATTAGATGCATTAGTTATGGGAGTGGTTGTTGTTCCACTACCGCATTTGATAAAATGGATTACAATTCGGGGTGAATTGTAAGGGGTCAGTCATGTTTATGGTCTGACAGGATGCGTTGTTGTCCTATGGTCATTGCTCATCTGGCATTTATTTGCTTATTTACGGTTGTAGCAGCCCGACGACGGAATGGAGTGATAGTGACTTAGAGGTTAGGTAGGAGTCAAGTTGTTCTGGTTTTACTCGAATTAGGATACCAAGTAGTGTTATGCTTGTAAGGGTGTTTTGACATATAATCTTAGTAACCGTCGGCTTTTTCGTAGTTGAATGCTTCTTATGGGTATCAGTCGTCGAAAATTTGGAGCAGTTGACCTTTAGCGGTTTCACATTTATGCTGTGCTTTAGAATATTATCCTTGGGCTTTGCTTTACCATTAATATTCTAAAATCCGTATGTAGGTAAAGGTGGTGGCACTGGGGAGATTAATGTCAAGATCAGGGGTTTCGATGTTGAACCGTAGATGGGGATGGCTTTGCGCTAGGGTCTGGAGTACTGGTGCTCGAGGTAGCTACCTCTAGACAGAAACTGTCGAGGCCAACATCAGAGACCCCGGATGCTTCGCTTAGTGTGATTTTATTAAGAGCTTTTGTGAAGAAGTACGCTATATGAGTCCCTCTTTCTTTAGTGTACCAGGCTCAGGACTGGAGTGTATGTTGCAGAGGTGTGCGATCCGCACTGATCACCATGTCTCTGAATCGAGTCTACTGGGTAATGACAGATTGACCGCGGAAGAATTAGTTCACTGACTCTATACTCGAGGATTTATATCTGATGGGACAGCATTGTATTGGTGTCTTCTTTTTGTGGCGTAACCATTTACAATTGATGTCTTTACTGATGGAGTTATTTATAACTGCTGGTGAAAGAACAGCAGGTAACTTTGCATCCAGTCTGCTTAGGAACCACGCTATACATACTTCTGTCCTTGTACATGTAGGTGAGATCCTCGGGACCGACTACGACATTAGCTGCATACTACATGGGATATGACACGGTCACAAAATCCGTACCGCGTTTACATTCATTTGCAACTTATAAATAAACCACCTGAAGTTGTTAATCATTTTGCTCATTTTTTTCTCCAATCATAATTATGTTGGTAATATGAGTCAAGGCTACTAGTACCATTGCATTTCTATGCTCGGATTATGATGTTTATTGAGCTGCGTTTGACTGCTTTCTTAGTCAAATTAAAATACCGGACCCTTAAGTCGTCTGGTGTATTGATCCTCTATCATTAGGTCCCTTTCTTCATTTTGTAACTTGTACTGCAATGCAGTCTAACATTTCATCGGATAGTATCAATGTTAGATTTGTGCTTGAGGTGTTTGAATGAAATTCCTGTCCAAAGAGAGACTTGTTGTTGCGGCAAGCATTAACGAGTGAATTCGGATCTCCGCAACGCTGAAACTCCATTTTATGGACGGATTAGGACTTAGACGTTTAAGCAAATCTCATCCTCGTCATTTATATTTCGTCAAGGATTTCCGTTCTCTGAGCCTCTGTAAGTTGGCCATTCAAAGGACTGAATCAAAATGGTCAACGTAAAGGGATGAAGTCTGGATCCATAAGTTTTACATGGTGAACGTTTATATACTGAAATATAAAGCGGCCGACTTAGGGGATGTTGTCAACTTCGGATGCTTTACCAATTTTGCTGTCGAGTTTTTATGCCGTTTCCGGCACATTCAGCGACCAATGGCCTAGTGTTTTATTAGTCTATTTTGTAATCCATCGGTGGCTGCTTTTACGTTGCGTCTATACTCGTAACCTCGCAGTATCCACGGCCTGCATGCGACCGGTGGTGTTTGGGTGGCCGCGGAGCGTCAGTACGAAGTAATTTAGTGCTGTGGATGCCTTTTTCACGCTTGTTCGTTCCACTATATTGAACTAAGCTTGCAAGGACGCTATTGCTGGAATCTAATTCGGTCACTTCCGGGTCAGATATTTTCTAATTAATTTGGTTGTGTTCGGCGGAAACAGTCAGCAACGGTGCCATAGCTGTAAACTTTATGCTTTTCATCTGCATTGTTTTACGCATTGTTCCTTTATCCAACATTTCTCCTTCCCATGCAGACCAAACAGTGACCCAACCCCTGTTTTCTCCGGAAAAACTACTTGCCTGTCCAGCTCTAGAGGGCTACGTAGACAATTTGCAGTTTCGCTACCTCGTTCAGTCGGGCCTAGAATTCCTGCAGAGTCTCATTTGACACATATATTTGCCATCGCTGTACAAATGATACCACCCCTTTGTTCTCTATGCATTGTTTTTGTGGCAGAGTATACTTTTGTATCAATCAGTATGTATTTTAGTCTCCTACAGGACCCTCACAGGCCAACTACTTCGCATTTGGGTTTCTCTCAGTGCTCAAACCTTTGTGCTAGCGGTGATAAATGAAGGGCTGCGTAAGACATTTGATTGAAATGGACACTGCGTGGTTCCATGGCGGCAGCCAGTCTCAGTGGGTATCGTAATTTGCAACCATAGGGATTATTCATAGCTCTGGGTTTAGATGCAGGAGTTGCGTTCTTCCCTTAATTGCACTTTCAATTGGACACCTGTTACCCGACTTCGAAATATAATTCTTACGCAGAACTTGTTTACCCCCTACTTTTTCAGGCAAGGGCACCGTCCGTGCATATTAACGAACATAAAATTGATATCTTAGGAAAGATCTTCGCAGCTAAGTTTACTCGGGTAGTCATAATTCTTCGGGATAATATCAGGCGGCCTTTCGCGACTTCACTAAATCCTGCAGCAGCCAAGCCTGTGACTTTTCTTTTATGAGTCACCAATCTATGTCACGCATGACGGCAGCAGTTCCCCACACTATGCCCTTCACTGATTCTTAAAATAACATCAACTCTTAGGCATTTCGCATGTATCATGAGTGACAAATATCTGGCGAATCTCTTTATGTCGAGGAGGTTACTCAGCACCTTCCCGGACCTGTGATGGCAGTTTAACTGAGTTTGGTTGCGATGAAACTTGTTGTCTTATAACAAGATCGGTAGTTTCTGAATGCCCATTCCACACTGATTTAATGGGACAGCTTTTTGTAGTCCGCAGAATAATCTGGTACTGTTGTCCAGAGGAAACGGGAATAGCTATAATACGCTGTGGTTTGGTCGTCTAACAGTCACTCGCTACTTCGAATCTATTCGATATTGCGGTCATGTAATCTTGATTTCATTAGTGAGACCAGAACGCATTTTCGTCCGGCATCTCGTTTCACTACCTTGTGTTCACCTTCATTAGAATTATTTTCAACTTGACAGCACGCAGTTATCTTTGTTGCTCATCGCTTCATTGGTTTCTACTCTTTACAAGGGACTTGTAGTACTGGGAAATACCAGTCCTGCATAGAGAACTTAAATGAGCGCCAGTGTCAGCTGGCGAATAGTGCCGACCACGACGGTCTACGATAGGAATAAGTGAGCAGACGAATAAAAGCGAATGCAGACGTAATGTTGGGAAGGTTAAACTAAAATTTTAAGCTACAACAAAACTCTACAAGTGTTCCCCACCAATGTACAGCGTACATATTGGTGGTATTGATGTATATGAAGGCTATTGCTGAAATTGCTGTTTAACGGCGAGCTAACAACAAATTGTACCGAAGCAGTTGTGGTTATGCATAAATGCTTATGAAGCAAAATGGAAACACAAAACTTACGAATAGCTGAATGGACGCAATCCGGTACAGATAAAATCTCGCATGTTGATCTCTAACAGTCTGCACTCATTCAGTTACGCAATTAGTGTTGCATTAAAACAATGTGTCCTTATCTCTGAGCTATGTGCATCGTCATTAAGTAGAAAAAGATCATGTAATAAAGGCTGGGCGAAATTTTCGATACGGCCGTTCGGCATTTCATGTCGCATCCTAAGTGTGGTCACTAGTCGCAAGCTGAACCAATGTCGTGGTTACAAATGCGAAGTAAAATATAAAACTACTAAACAGATTGTGTCAGTTACACCAATGAGTCAGGAATTCACAGTATCAGCTGTATTTGTGAATTAGAAATCCACATTTCCCCAACGATATTGCTATCATTTCCTTCTTGGTCATCAACCTCGCATAACGTTTCCAAATAAGTACACTTGCCGATATTAGGAGACCCCAGTTAATGGACGGCGCGACACGTTTTCGCGACAAGACTTGGGCCTACAGCAGGTCTCGCGCCCAACTGACTCACTTAGTCCATCATCGTCGCACGAGGTTTTATGGCTTCGGACATGATGGTGGCTACAGCTAGAGTGTAGGCCGCGAACAGGTATGAATCCGTCTAGGCAGGTGACGTGAATCACTCCAGTAACGGACAGTCGAAGTGAGTGCATGTGACGTATAAAGTAACCAAACTCTATCTCTAATGCAGTTCGGTTTGATAGGCTTTGGTGCTCTGTTTTTGTTCTCAGCTGGATTTGCAGCGCAAATAACAAAGGCAAAGGGCGGCGTCACAACAGTGGCGACCGGGTTTCCAACCGAACCCAGAAATGGCAGTGGTTTCGAACAATCGCAGGCACTTTTTCACAACAGCAACTACAGTTGAAAAATTGCAGACTGTGCATATTCAGATGTTGGCGCAGAAGCTGTCAATACGGTCAAGTTCAGGGTCAGTGGCAAAGGAAAGTGTCCTTTCCAGAAACCCTGACAACAAATCAGTAGATTTCATCAGGGTGCGGATGTTGGTGTAACATTCACTTCGTGGTTCCACAAGTATGAATATATGTTCCGAGTCGATTTGGTTAACGTATTTGAGGAGCGGAAAATTCAACTTGCGCATCGGAAGCAGGGCGCTGCTGAACATGAAAAGTTCACCAATTTCATTCTCCCAAAGAAGTGCACTGACCTGTCGTTTGATGAAGCCCTGGCAGTTCTTTCAAAAATGTTTGGTGAACAGATATCGCTGTTCAGCATTTGTTATAAGTGTCTGATATTGATTACGAAAGAAGACTAGGATTGGGTGAGCTATTCAAGCCGCGTGAATCGCGAGCGCGAACGATCACAGTTTCATAAGGTGGCCGGTGACTAGTACAAGTGTCACGTTTGCGACCAACAAGCAACCCAAGATGCAGACATGCGAACAGGAATACTGAACGAGGTTGAACCAAATCCTGACATCACATTACAGCAACTGACCGGTAGGTGCCGAAGAATGACGAACCTAAGGCATGATACACCGAGCAGAAACTCATTTGTTCGGTCCACCGAACTTGGCAAAATGTAGCAACGAACGTGCGTCTACCACATTCCCAACCTCTCTCCGCTTTGAAAAGTACGGAACGAAGACAAAGGCTGGTAGATGCATGCATTTCGTATTGTCTCCTCAGTACCATTAACAATAACCGATATACATAGATATAGCTAACAGTAAGTGCAACCAGATAAGCTTAAGGTGCTGAACGAATGACGGAGGTTCAAACCTACATCCAAGGCAGCTTTAGGCTGACAAATAATTGTTTCTCTGCACACAAAACTGACTTAACCTGGCTTATAGCGACAGCCTCAGCAAACCGAAGAAAGAGGGGATTAGTTTGACGTAACACAAATTTAAACGCTGAGTCCAGCTCTATCCGGTGACCCGAGTCTAATAGATGCTTGCCTATCTAGGAAGCCGGCGGTTTGCGCGAACACGGAATCTGACGTGGGTAGGCAATCTGAGAAACTTCACGCGAAATCCATCTTGGTACATGCTCCCTTATTCGGGAAGTCAGTGTTCTATTAGTTCTGCCTATATAATTGTTTCCGCAGTCACATACAAATTAGCGTACACGGTGTGAGTAGGCCCCAATATGTTGAGCTTCCTTCGTTGGAGGTACGGGCAAATTTTGGGTTCAGTTGATGACAACTTGTGCAGTATAGTAACTTCCGTGTGCATCTGAGATTATACGCTTAGTTGTCTTTGGCGTGGCTAAATCACCTTTGAAAGGTGATTTGATGTACACTTCTTGGCTGCCGTGTGCATCAAGTCCTTTGTCCCTCGCGGTTGACTGTGTTTCTCGATAAACCCTCGAGGGTGGCCTTTAGTGTTGCTGTAATTAACACTAGCTCATCGTCCAGACAGTCGGCCGAACAAATTCGTCTAACACGACTACCTGGAGTCTTCAGAAGCGTCCGTTTGTACTGCACTGGTGTGAAACTGGTGAAGTGCAGGCACTGACCGGACCAAGTTGATTTTCGGTAACTGGACCTCTTCATCAACCCATCATCTCTGCGACTTCTTGTTTATCCAGATATGGCAGACAATTGTTCTGTTCTACTTCGCATATAACCCGTAGGTTAGCATGAGCACAATTGAGTCGTTCCACCAAATTTGTGAGCTGCTGCTGCGACGAACAGAAAGCCAAAATATCATCGACATGTTTGTAGTAGGGCACCTAGGCTATTTCCGTAGAAATGCTTCTTTCTACCATCAGCATGAAGAAATCAGTGGGAACAGGACCTAATGGGCTACCCATTACTACGCGGTCAATTTGACGGTATGGTGTATTCCGGAAGTGAAAATCTGCATTCTCCGTGCACAATAGTAGAGATTCTCTCAGCAATTCAGTCGGGATTGGTAGCCAACAGCAACCGTTTTCAGTTACTTCGCACATGTAATCAACCGTCTTATGTAGTGGGACGTTGGCAACTAAGAATTCTACATCCAAGGAATATGTGACTTTGTCTGACAGGTTGAGTTCATCCGGGTCGCCGATGAGTCGAAACGAGTCTAAGACTGTACGGATTGAACTGTTGTTTCAGCGGGAATTGCAATTTCACAACCCAACGAGCGAGTTTATGCTGGGGCGCGTTCATCATTGCAAGGATTGGCCTGAGTGTCACTTCACTCTTCTGTGTCCCTGGGAACCCATACAACTGTGGAATAGTGCTATCACTAGGCTTCAAGCTATTAAATGTATCACAGGCTATCACGCGGGGGAGAAGAAGCGATTCCAGTTTGTTGGTTTTGTAGAGAATGGCATTTTACTCGACACTGTCCATTTATAATTCACATTCCCAACTGAGGCGGCAGTAGTGATCCAACCTTGAGTTGGATGAAGCGCAACAATGCCACACAGTTTTGACGACCCGATGGGGCCAGGACAGTCACCGCGACTTTCAAGCTTGATAGCGTCAACAGGCGTAAGTACACCAAGGTGGAAATCATTGGCAGGCAAGTCAAGTTTCAACTTGATACCTCTTCAGATATCACTCTGATCTAGTGACATGTGGCTCATGCTGGGGAGACGGACACTCGTACAAACGGCCCAAACTGTTCGGAATGCTACGGTGCTACGTTAAAATTGCTTGGTG